ACTGAAAAGGGAAACTGAAACGAAGGAAATCGTGGAGACCAAATTGATCTTTAGGTCCAATGGAGTGTGGGCCCTCACCCCGAGTGTGAGGAGTGGCTGGACTGGAGTTTGATCTGACCTAATAGAAGATTTTGTCTCTGAGAACTCTGGAGCGGTGTCCTGTGACTCACTTTTCCTGGAATACAGATGAAAAGTGAAAACCCCTCCCAGCTTCCCCCTGCTGTCTAAATCCCAGCAGTGACCCAAGAAGGAAGATGCCACTGTCCCTCCAGCGTGTGGCTCAGGACTGTGGTGAAGTCCCGCTGGTCCTCCTCTCTCCAACTGGCAATAAACTGACTCAGAAAACAGGTCCACAGGTCAGAAATGCTATCCTATCTTCAGCCACCAAAAGACAAATGAGGTGTGAGAGATGGGGACAGAGGGAGAGGTCAGTTTTTTTCTTTCCCCTTTCTTTCTTTCTTTTCTTTCTTTCTTTGGAATCAACTGCTTGCTTTCTTGTTCTTCTTCCTACTGGACTGAAATATCCAATATGGGCAGATTTCTTACATAAAATGGATCAATTTGTTTATGTATTCAATCAATACTTGCTGAGCTCTGTGTGGCAGCCTCTGGTCCCCTTGGAGCATATTCACCAGGGATGGAAGAAAAGAGTGGACCGCCACTAAGAAGAAGATAATAAATGACTGGACACGGCAATCTTAGTGCGCAGCAAAGGCTACAACAGAGCAGCCCAGATGAATCGGTTAGAGAATAACTGGGAGTGTGGGGTGGCCAGGGTTACGTGCCATTGGATGCCAGGGAGGTCAGTCTTAGAGATCCCAAAGATGAGAAACTGCCAGTCACATCAGGAGCAGAAGAGTGTTCTAGGCAGATGAGAAGTCAATGCAAAGACTCTCAGCATGAAAAGGATATTTTCAAAGGATATACTCTTCTCTGAAGAGAGAACATCCACTTTGCTTATGACTGTGTCCAAACACCGATGGAGTCTACGGTCACAAAAGGCTTCCATAGCCTTGGTGGCCCATGGCAACAGCCTCAGCTGATCACTGACGTCATAAATAAGAGTGTTAATTGTTAAAGGAACTTCAGAAGTCACTGTGCACTTACTCCCCATGTAGGACCTCCATCCCTAATGAGTTGTACTAAGAGAACCGAATGCAAAATTTGTTCTCAAACTGTACTCTATATGTTGTGTGTGCAAACTGTTGAAATCTATGCTTACCATGGAGTTGGTCCTCTGTATATAAAATCAAACTAAAAATGAACCATAATGAAGAAGGAGATGGGAGAGGGAGAGGGAGGTGGGATGGGAGTTGGGGAGGGAGGGTGGGTATGGGGGTAAAAACCCACTATATTCCTAAAGTTGTATCTATGAAAAAAATGCATTCATTAAATAAAAACTTAAAAAATAAAATTGAAAAAGTTTTGTGAAAAAATAAAAGAAAAGGATGTTTTTCCACTCAGAGTATAGGAGAGCTGCCACTGAGCACAAAATTGAGTGAACAAGAGAGAGACACAGCTTTGGACAGACGGAAGCACTAGGGCACAACCCTGAGCGAAGCAACACTTGGGGCGCGATGTGAAATTTTCCTAAAGGGAGACTGCGTGACTTTCATCAGATCTTCTAAGAGGCACGCAACCCTCCTCTCCTGCCCTCCTCCCACACATGAGCAGCACCTGACTTAAAGAGAGAGTGGCCCATGTTCTTAGAAAGGCCAGGAGAGTGAGGAGCGACACACGTGACTGTCTAATCCTCCAAGACACAGAACTACACAGGGAAAAACTACATACAATGATCCTTGATGGGGAGAGGGTGGAACTCGAGATGGTATCTGAGAAAGCTTGGTGAGCAAGCAGCTTCAAGTGTCCCCAAATGTGGCAGGAGCACGCCAAGAGCTGGGGGGGTAGTGATGGGGAGCCAGGGCTCTCACAGATAGAGTTTGCAGCAGCTGCACCATGAATGGGAGACACTGGAGAACGACAAGGACTCAGTCTTCTCATTTATAAAAACGTGTCTGAAAGATCCCCTAACTCTGAGACCCTTCCCTGGTGTATCCCACTGAGTCGATGCTGATGTTTCCCCATCGCCCTGAGCCAGTTTCCCAGAGACTGTCTCCTGGAAATTCTCACTTCAGATCATTACAGGAAGGCTGAATGCTAACAGGCATTTTTGCTGAACTGATTTCTCAGCCACCACGGCTACCCTACCCGTAGCTGTGTGCCCCACACCCCTCCTGCCCAAATCACCTGGTAGATGTCTGGAGAGGATTTGGAAGGACCCTGGCTTGTTAATTAACCTAAACAGTCACATTCGTCTGCAAGGTGCATTATTGTTAATTAAAACTGCGATTCTCCGTGTGCCCAGACGGCGGGTTGCTGTTGTCAGAATAATTAGATAGCATACGATGGTTTTCATGCAAATCCCTGGCAATTAGAGTTGGCGGTGAATTGGGTTTGGAATCCCAGTGAAGTTCTCCATCAGAAATCCTCTGAGGGTGTCTCCAGGAGAAAGGTGGCAATAGGACTTGGGGATTAAGGACATAGGGCTGGGTTAAGGGGTATGAGGAGCAGTTGTTCCTTCCCAAAGTCCTCTGCAAGGGGCTCCAGGCTGAAATAACTGAACTGTGGGCATCATTGTGATGTTCAAAAGTTCTCTAAGAAATAGGTCTCTCCTTAAAGAAGCCATACCATGCAAATCGAGCCCCTTCCTCAAGCTTCCTCTCCCTTCAGGTTTACGTGCTCCCAAGAGCTTGCCTCCCTGGCTCTCATCTTTCAGAGAGGATTTTTTTTTCTTTAGCCAGAAGGGCCAATAACTCATACACAGCTAAAGTCCCTGCCAAGCCTCAGATTAAATTCTTAAGGGTTCTAAGGAAACAGAATTTGTATTCCTGAAGGATTGCAAACACAACCCCAGATCCAGACCAATTTCAGAGCGGCTGATGGCAGGCAGGGGGTTAAAGGGACAGGGGTAGCAGGTCCCTGAGGAAAGCACTAAAGAAATGATGGAGGTAGAGGTTAGACTTGAGGAAGAACTATCCAACTGCAGCGTAGATAAGGGCGGGGAGCAGGCAGTCCCAGCCTGCAAGGGGCAAAGCTGGAGGGGGTGGGAGTGAGGGGAGATAAGCCTGCAGAGCTCTCTCCAGTCCACTCTGACCTCTTATCAGCCTGTGGCTTCTGCCTCTGCCTTTCCATTGTGAGGGATGTGATAGCTGCTGAACTGGGGCTCCCTGTGACTGGACAAGTGAGGAAGGATTTCCATCTGGAGGCATGGGTGGGGGGCAGATAAGGCAGCCCTAGTGGTCTTCAATTAAGCTTCCCTTGCAGCGACTTGACACTGGGAGATTCAGAGCCTCAGAAACACCCTCCCCTCCCTCTCAACTAGGTCAGCTTCCAAACCCAGCCCCTCAGAACGGAGGCAGGCAACATCTGGCAGGATTGAGAGAGAGAGGTCGGGGCTGCAGGGGGATTTGCAGAGAGACTGGAAAGGGAGCAAGAGAAAAGCAAAGCACTGGGGCACATTCAGGCACCGCGGTTGAAGACCTGTGCATCATTTATGTTTGTAAATTATTTCCATTTTCTACATTTTCTCTCCATTCCTTTCTGTTTCAGGATGTCTCCCGCGCGTCTCAGTTGGTCCCTAAATCCCGCCTTTCAATTTAGGATGCACCAATCAGGAGCTAACCTGGTAGTTGCTAAGAGACAAGAGGTGGGAGATTTAGAGGCTTTGTCATGGCACCTACCCAGGAAAATTCCCTGAGCTTTTTGCACCCTCCTACCTGAGATTCTCTACCTCATCTCCACTCCTCTCCTTCACTCTCCCATTTACCGGCTCCCCCTCCCCGCCCCCAGCCCAGAGACTCAAGCAGAAACCACTTAGGGAAGAAGCCAGGAATAGCACATCTTTGAAAGAAGGAAAGACCCATGTAGAACACCTGCTCACATTTCCCCTGCCTTTCTTGAGTTGGAGGGGAGAACTCTTGTTTGTGGTCTCTCAGTTAGAGGCTGTGTTTGTTGCTTCCAGTTCACTCTCCGATGAAAAAGGAAAGGAGAGGTTATTCAAAGGCTAGGGTTCCAAAGGGAGTTTGGGGGTTCCAAGATGATGAATCAGACCAGGGCCTCTCCCTTTAAATTTTGCACCCTTCCCAACTTCTTGATCTTTTCTTCCCTCTACACATCCTACACAGAAAACACTAGGCATAAAAAATCAGGGTAAGGAAAACTCATTTGCTTAAGGAATGAGTCATAAATTCTGCTTTCATATCCTGAGAACAGAGATGGGCAAAGAAAAGAGTGGGGGGAGGGGCCCTCGGAAAGGTCAGTGCATACACAGGTGTGTGAGGTTTGCACTCTGGCAGAAATGCAGGCACACGTGTGGATCTGTGTTCTTACATGCATGCCTCTAACAGGGCTAGAGAGTCTAAAAGGTGGAGAGACAGATGCACCCACGCTGCACTCAGGAATTAGGGTTCATACTGAGGAATAAACTTTGGAGAGAGGACTCCTGAGAAGTGGCTTTAAAACTATCTTAGTCTGTTCACCAGGCCAAGTAGCACTCCCCAGATTGCTTCTCCCACCCTGCCTACCATTGCGCTGATCTCTAAACAAAGCCAGAGAGGAGACTGAAGACAGAGAGGGGCTGCACCGGTCAGACAGGGGCAAGGAGCTATTGCTTTGGGCTGTGCTGTCACTCTCCTTCTATTCCTACTGCATTTGCTTTCTGCAGCAAGCTTCTCCTCTTTCGTTACCCTCTAAGCCATCTCTTCTGAGTGTTTTGAGTTTAGCTGCCTTCTCTGTTCTGGTTCCCTTTCTCTTCCCCCTTGAGGTGGCAGCAGCCCCACCCCCAAGAGAACAGCTGCGTGCCCTGAGGACGTTCGCATGTCATTCACTTTCTCCTCAGGCCTGTGAGACACTGGCAGGAAAGTCTGGCATGAAATGTCTCTCCCTGCATCCTCCTCCCTCCCCTCTCCCCTGCATTCCCAGACAAAATAAGAAACCATCTATAAAAGCAATGTAGCCTTTAATTCAGGTTGACGGATGACAGCAGGCTAAGATTTGCTCCCGAAGGTGTCCAGATGAGAAGACTGTCTCTCCGCAAGGGGCAGGGAGGGCAGGGAAGAGCGGGTGGCCTGGTGGCAGAACCAGGCCAAGAGCAGGGGAGTAGCCACACAGTGCAGTATTGCCAGGGCTTCTGCAAGGTGCAGCAGCAGGTCCAAAACCTTCTGGACCATGCATGTGGGCAACAAGATGATCCTGAACCTCACTAGGGTGTCCAATCCTAGGAATATCCCATGAGGCCACCAGAAAATGAACCAGACCCACAGAATGTCAACCCAGGGGCCTGGCCCCCAACCCAGGGCTTTCCTCAGGCCCTTGGCTCCCATCAAGCCCAATGGCCACAAGATAAAGACAACAAAGCAGGCCACAGCATGTGTGGACTGCAAGGCTCCCAGGCCCCTGCTGGATGCCAGGGTGCAGATGCCACGGGAAGTATCACTGGCCAGGGTGATTGGCAACCCCAACAGGGAGGCTGCCACCCAGATGCCCACAGCGAGTCCCAGGGTGAGGCCAGGAGACTGGCCTGCTCCAAGTTTGGGGCCCAGACAGGCACGGCACCCAATCAGCAGAGCCTGGGCAAAGGCTGAGCCATACCAGACCCAGTAGCCCAAGCCACACAGGATGATGCTGTGGGCACTGCTTAGCCCTGGTGCCAGGATGGGCACCACGATGCTGAAGAGGGCACTGCCCACAGCCAGCTGTGCCAGGATAGGCCTGCCAGGGCAGAGCTGCCAGTGGAAGAGAGGTCGGAGAAGCGCGAAGAGGACAGCTCCACTCGCCAGGATGCCCAGGACGCTGGCGAGGATGAAGAAGGGCAGGGAGGAGTCGTCGAGCAGGTTACAGGAGTGGCAGGGGGCAGCTGCCTCCAGGTCCGAGTTGTAGTCAAAGGATTTGTAGGACTCATTCTCATCGTAGGAATAATTCCATTGGAAGTTTCCAAGGTCCCACTGGTTCGAATTTGGGTCAACTGAGAGGGAGGGCTCCACCTGGGGGAAAAACCCAGAGGGGCAGTCAGACCATCTGGTTCTGCCCATGGAAGAGTCTCCTGGGGACGAAGGGAAGAGGGCAGGGGAGAAGCACAGGAGCGCCTGGATTAGAAGGACAAAGGAACTGGCAGGAGTGGGTGCAGTGGGTGGGGGGGAACAGACAAAGCAGGGAGACCAGGGTCCTGGGAAAGCAGAGGAGGCTGGAGGAAGGACTGGAGGGCCAGGGGCCAGGGGGAGGACACACGGGGCCTCGGTGGGACCTGGAAGTCACAAGAGATCTGGACAGAAAGGTACATGAGTCCAGCGGTGGGGACAGGAGACTCGAGTGAGGAAGAGCAAAGGGAAAACAATTTCTAGTGTGAGAGAGAAAGGAGAGACATTCTAGGAGCAGCATGGAGGGGTATAGATCCGGGGGCAAGCAGAAAGGGGAGTGGGGGTGATGAGGTAAGGGGTTGTGGGGCACAGGCCCACACTCACCGGGTGCAGACAGTTCCCCATGGCACCGTGGGCTCAGGGCAGGCAGAGAGAAGGGCTGGCACGGCTCTGTCAGGGGCTGTGGTTCCAAGATAAGTGCCAAGGACTAATGAGGGCCCTCAGGTCTGGGAGGGCCACTGTGGCGGGAGGCATTCAGGAAGCCTTTATCCCACGCCCACTGCCTGCCTAAGCCTCAGGCTCACGGGGGCAGTGGCCCCGGGGGCTTCCTGTTTTGCGGTTGGACCTGCGGGGTCAGACCTCTCTCTGGAAAGGAAAAAGGTGGGGACCAGAAGGTGAACGTTTTCCCGAAGGTGGGCAGGGACGCTGAGAAGCCAGGGGACTTTCCAGCAAGTAGGGGTTCTTGGAGCACAAGGAAGGAAGAGGGGCCAGGGGTGACTTGTGAGGCAGAGATAAGAATGGCACGGGGAGGCTGGAGGGAAAGGGTGGCTGACAGCTCTCACTGCTCTCCCACCCGCCTGGGGAAAGCCAAGGCCATTCCACAGCCCTGTTTGGAGGATGGGGTAGTTAGCAGGCTTCTGGGTTGGTCTGTCCTGTCTGAGGGGGATGCCTGTGGTGTGGACTCTGTGTGTATCAGCCTGGGTGTGATACACTCCTGTTTCTGAGTGTATAGCAGTGTGCACACATGTGTGTTATGTGTAGGGGTGTCTGGGTATCAGCACTGCTGTCTCCAGATCTGGGTGTTTCTTTGTGAGCAGAGGGAGAGCTGTCAAGGCTACATAATGCGGCTACTTTAGGGAAAAACTGGGCATGAATCTTTCATACCATGTGGAACACACATCCTGGCATGTTTAGGCTCTGGGGACAATGGGATAACATATTTTAAAAGGAGACTGTGGCCCACAGGGTAATCCCTGTCCTGCCTCTGACAGGAGCTAGAACAGCTTCTTTGGCCTGGCGTCTGGCAACATGTAAAGGTTCTTAAGGGAGGTGATGCTGTTGCTCCTCTCCGGCTGACAGAAAGGGTATCCACCTTGCCGGTAGATTCCCAGAAGCCCCTTCTCCCTGCTGCTTTCTCAGGTCCCTGCTGTCTCTGCACCCCTTTCTGAGTTCCGTTTCCTCAGAGGAGACACAGCATGGCCTGGAGGGGTGGGCCGGGGGGGTGTCCAGGTCAGAATGGTGAGATCTAGAGGAGTGGTTCAGGGACATGGTTGCATTTGTTCAAGAAAAGGTGGGATGTTTTAGCCCCACTTTCGCTAAGGATCTTCTGCCTCGTTCACGCAAGGATGCCTAGGAGCAAAGCACCACAGAACCAGGTGCAAAAAGAGGGGTCCCACGTTTCAGGTCCAACAAAACGGGGGCTAGCCGTGAGCTTGTGGGGGTCGGTGAAGCTCTCCCGGGGGGTGAGGCCAGTGTCCACGTAAACGTCCTCCTGGAGGGGCAGGAGTAGTTTGGTGCCCCACCCCACACACTGGATAGCAAGGACCCAGCAAAATGGGGAGGGGCCTCCTTCTGTCCTTGGAGAATAGCATTGTTTCCATCCTTAGGTGCCCATGGGGTACAGGCGCCAGGCACAAGGAATCCCAGGAGAATGGCCCTTCCACACAAGCATCCCAGCCGGCAGCGAGAGCAGCAGAAAGGAGGCAGCTGAGTAACACGGATAATCCAGATATATTGAGGGTGGCCCCTCTGAGATTAGCACAGGAGAGTTAGAAAGATTATAAAGATACACGATCCCCTCCCTGCTCCCTTCCCCCACCCTCCCACCACGGACAGACGCACACAGCACAACAGCCCCTCTCCCCCCGCCCCCCCGTACAAATATGGCTTCTGTGTAGTATGGACAGAGTGGTTCAGCTTGAAGAGGAAAAGTCATTTTCCCAAAAGCGGGTGCTGGGAGACTAGGAGCCTGACAGGCCTGGGACCCAAGGCTCCCTTGCTGCTGTAAGAGGAGTGGGCCCTGGCTTAAGTGAGGGGCTGCCTGCGGTGCCCAGGGCCCTAACCAGTGGCTGGAAGATTCACGACGTTATTACCTGAACTGAAGGGGGTGGGCAGACCTGCTGGATTGCAGCTGCCCTGTTTTGCGTTTTGCACATCCATGTCAGAGTGGGGAGGACGTGCTGAGGGAGGGAGAGGCAGCGATGCCACAAGCATCAGAACATCAGGAGGGGGGCGGGCAGACCGTCCAGGACAGGGAGAGTGCACAGCCTCATCTCCAGGGCAACCAGCTGAAGGGGCCCCCGCCCCGACCCGCCCCGGGACAGAGGGGAAGACAGGGGCAGGGACCCCAGCCCCTCTAAATGCTGGGTTCAGATGGTGGGAAATCCAGGGTCAGCGCCAGGAAGAGCCTGAGGGTGCATAGCAAAGGCTGTGGCACTGATGCCACAGCTTGGAGAGGGTACGTCAGGGGAGAGACTGGACGCTCTGAGTTTCAGGGAGATGGAATAGACAGTGGGGCAAAAGCACATCCTAAGACTCCTTTGTCTAGGACAGATGAGTGCTGGGGGTGGCCTGGGAAACACCAGGATGGTACAAACCCCGACTAACGTCCTCCACTCCCAAAGCCCTTTCGTGTCACTTTCCACACTCCGTCCACCTGCCCAGGGCCCCGGCTCTTAGCATCCTCCTCGGTTCCTCTCTCTGCCTCTCACTCACACAGACACACGTGCACATGTATACCCACGCACACGCACACACACAGTTCACATTATTCCCTTAGTTTGGGCAGGAAACAGCTCAGTGCAGCGAAGCTCCTTTTAGTATTTTTGTTGTTATGTCTGCCTGGCTGCTGAGGGAGGGCAGACTATGTGCTGGGGTCTGGATGGACAGGACACAGGGCGGCACAGGATGGGGAGGAGCAGTTGCTTAGCAATGCTGTGAAGAGTGGTTGCCGTGCAACGGTCCAGGGGTCCGGGTAAGAGTGTGGGGCCCCTCAGGGAGAAGCAGATGCAGTTCAGGCCCCAGTGCAGTGCCTCTCCTATAGCTGCTGGAGCAAGGAGGGGCCTCCACATCCTGCCATCCCCCAGGGCAGTTCCTGCGGAAAGAGCCTGGCTTCATTCATTGATGGTGTAGGGGAGGCAACAGGTGCACAGGGCCCTCTCCGTCATTCTTCCTCTTCTACCTTTGCTCACAGGTATCTGTGCCCTCCCCACGTGGAAGCTGCATGCCACCTGCATTCACATGGCCTCTGGACTTGGGAGTGGGGTCAGAGCAGCACCCCCCTTCCAGTGTGTGGCTGGCAGAGGTAAAGCCACCTCCAGCCTTTGTTCACTACTCTCTGCCTCCTGGGTTCCTGGAGAAGTTGTGGCAGCTGCTCTGTTGTAAAGGATGGAGAGAGGGCTGGGGATACCCCGCCCTTCCAAACCAGCCCTGCTATTCACCCTTTCCTTACCCCTCTACCTTCCTCCTCCTCCTCCGCACACTTGAGATTTTTTTTTCTTTTTTTTTCTTTTTTTTTTTTTTTTTTTGCTTTCCTCGTCCCAGGGCCCCCACTTCTCCAGCCTGGAGACAGATTTGGGATTTGATTTGGGATTGTTACAAAAATAATAATAACCCAAACGCAGAGAAGCCACGGAAAGGGCTGAGGGCAACCCTCCCCTCCCCCCCGCCCTCCTCCCTCCCCATTCCAAACCGAGTACAAAACCGCACCCAAAGCAGACATTCTGTACAGGGGGGTGGGTGGGCTGGGGAGCAAGCGGGAGGGGCGGCCCTGGGGTCGCTCTGTACAAGTCCAGGTTGGTGACGGCCCAGCAGTCCCCATGGGGCCCCTGGGGGCGCAGGAGGTGGGCAGGTGCCCCTAGATGAAATACTCCTTCTTGTCATCCCCTCCTGACTGCCCGCCTTCTGCGTTGATGATGGCCGTGTCTGCGTCTGGGGCGTCATCGGAGCCCTTGGCCTCATGCGTCAGGTAGGTTCCTGTGTGGAGAGAGAGGCTCCTCCTTTCAGGAGCAGCTAGCAGACGGCTGAAGCGCACCTTGCCCACCCTCCCGCCCACCCACTGTTGCTCAGGCAATCTTTCTTTCGTCTGGAGCTTTCCCACTTTACCTAATTTGCATGTGGCTGTCAACATCCCTCCCTTGACCATACCCCTCTATGAATAATGAATCCAGCCCTTAATTGGAATCTCATCCATAAAATGAGCAAAAATAAATAAATAAAAAAAGATGTGCATGTGGGTGGTCGCGAAACTGCTGTGTCAGCCTCAGGAGCAATGCCATTGAGATCCGCCTCCCGTTGACCAGCTCAGGGCCTCTGGCTGCTGGCTGGAAGATGAGACAGAGCAGGAGTCTGAGAGGGAGGAATGAGGGAGATAATAAAGATGTAGGAGGGAAAGTTTAAAAAAAAAGAAGAGAGGAGAGGAAAGACAAGAGATGATACGGGGACCACTGGAGGAGACCAAAGGAGCAGGGAAATGAGGCTCACAGACAGACAGACAGACAGACAGAAGGACAGTGCAGGAAGAAGGGCTTCGGCACCGTGTGGGAGACTTGTGTCTTACAGCAGAGACCCTAGAGGCAGGGCAGCATGGGAGCAGCAGCTGCCTGAGTGGGCAGGTTTGATTTCACTTGGATCATCACCAAGTGATTGGCTTTACTGCAGGGTTGGTGGTGCTGTTATCACAGGGTTGGCACCGATGGGGCTGGTGGCATTTTTTCTTTCTCAGACACTTCAAGGAGCTGAGGGAGTCTCTGAAGGGCCTTCCTGCAGCCTGCTTCTTCCTGCCTGTCCTTGGCTGACCTCCCCACCTCCTCCCAAGTCCTCTGGTTGCAACCCTCACACCTCTGACCTTTATGCCGGATCAAGTAGTGGCCCAGGAAAATGAGCAGGATGAGCAGCAGGAAGACGATGAATGCCACAATCCCGCCGATGATGGCATGGTAGGTGCTGGAGGATGAGGGCACTGGGCTGGGGTCTGGAGGGAAAGGGAATGCACAGTCAGATGTGGGGAGGACCCCTCCCTTACTGTGGTGTTCTGACGTGGCCTCGGGTGCCTTGCACAGCACAGAACAGGCACTAAGGTTGCCAGAACAGAGCAGCATCACCCAGCAAAGGGGACATGCCTGATCTTGGCTTTTAATTTCTTGCACTATACCTGGAACATAGTGGCGATCAAAACAAGTTGGTGTATTCATGATTAAATAAATAAATCTACTCACAACTAACCATCTAAGTTGAGTTCTTGGCACAGCAGTTTGACCTTGGTCAAAGATGATTGCTTTAACTTCTCTCTCCTCTCTCTCTTCCACCTCTCTCTCATCATGTTCCTTTCCTAGCCTCCACACTTTCTTACCTGCCTGTCTTCTTCATATTCCGAGCTGACCCTTCTAGGGGGCTTCTCAGCTGAAGACCTCACTGTGCTGAGATCAGATGGGGGAAGGAGCTGTAAGAAGCTGACGGGGCTAAGAATTAAGCTCACTGACAGCACCTTACAAAAGATGATGGACTATGACCCCTGGTAGCAGTATATCTTCCTGCCAGTAAAACCCCATCCCTCCACCTGTCCCTGGGACTCCATCTTCACTTTGCCGCCATCCAAAGGTGTGTAGACAAGGATTGACTTGCTTTTCCCGTGATGACTGATGTCTCTGTCACTGGAAATACGGACTTTGTCCTCCAGAGAAGCAGAGGTGAGACTCATTCTGCATAGACTGGGCCAGGTGTGACAAGGACAGCACTAGCCATGGTCAGGGCCCTAGGATCTGAGGAGACATCTGCAGGCCCAGGACATGGTTCTGATACTTCCAAAACCACATCAGCTACAGATACAGCTTCCCCACCCTTGGGAGATCTACTGTTTTTCCAAAGACTCAGCTTGAGTCTTGATGCCTCATTGACTCCTGGTCTGTTTTTTTTCTTTCCTACCTTATGTCTCCTCAGGCTTGGCTGGCTGGACCAGCTTTTAGTACCTTGCCTGTCTATGCCTTATTTGAAAAGAAAACATTTGTGCTCTGTTTTTTATGCTTTGCTTGGGAGGCAAATACTCCATAATATGATGGGTTGAATGTGATAGTACAACTTGGAAGGTGTTTTAGCCACACTTTTTTCCCAAGGAGTACGTGTGGCATGGCCCACATTGAAAATCAATCCTGGATCGCTGTTACAGAGGCCATGGAAATGGGAATTCCTTAGGAAAAACACAGACTCTCACTGTCACTGGTCACTGGTCACTGGGGCCATCAATTAAAAGCTCCTTCCTCTGGGTAGAACCACATTTAATTTCACCCCAGGCACACCCACTTAGGAGAATCCTGGAAGAAGCTGCAGCAACAATTTCCACCACCAGGCGTCAGCACTGGGAGCATAGTGGATCAGACAGGCCTTCCTCTGCTCTGGTTTCAGCGCAGGGCAGAGGGGAGAGATCAGCAGATACCAATCACAAGGGCACAAAAACTTTCTCTCACTGCTGCACATCGTCAGAGTCAGGCTGGAGAGCTCTGGGGGCAGAGACCGGGCCTCAGTGCATTGTCCTTGGTCCTGGCATCTTACAATAGCCTTGTTTATTGTGCTGAGGCAGCTCCCACTTGCTGAGGTCAAGCCTTAGAGTTGGAATCACCCATCCAAACATTCTGGTCCCAAGAACTCAGGGCTTTTATCCCTGGGAGGCATGGCTGTTATCCTGCCATCCTCAGCCCACCCGCACAATACTGCTTTAATGATCATTTCAAGTAAGGGAGTTGCTGAAGTCCCCCCAACAATGCATTTCCCACATCCTACGGAAAGGTTTGGAAGACTTTCTGGCAGCACCCTGCTGCCTCTGGGATCTTAAAAAACTTCACTGCCAACTCCCTATAAAGGGGCCTCTGTGCTAGGCTGTCACTGCTCCTAAAGCCAGGTTTTGTGGTCACAGCTTCTTCCAAGAAGGTCCCTGGTCCCTCTGGAAGATGCATCATTCAATAAAAAATTCTGATGGCTGCTCTGCAGAATACAAGCTTATCTCTCTTTGCTGCCTGGGGTCTGCATAGGGTGTCCCAGGTCTTCAGGGAAGGGAAGGACAGAGGCAACATGCATCCCATAGATAGTCCTGGGAGGAGCAAGTACAAGAACAGCCCATTGGGCAGGGGAACATGTGCATGCCTGCACACAGGTAGCATAGCTCTGGGGCCTCTAACCACAGATGCATCATTCTTAGTTGTCAGAAGAGTGTAAGAGATAGAGGGTGGTGTCACCCAGGCCACCACTGTTTAGCAAAGGTGGTTGAGAACCCACCCTTCTATTAATTTTTCATGAACTCATGCTCCAGAGTAGACCTATAGAGCCTTTGCCCTCAGGTCCCGTAATGGGGGGATGTTTTCCCTTTGCCCTGCTCTCAATCATAATATGTGGGCGTTATCAGGAGGCGAAAAGAAGAGAGTACAAGACAGACAGAGAGGGGAAACACTGGAGGAGAACAGAGGAGGGCTTACCATTAACATTGAGAGTGAAGTAGGCCTTGTAGCTGCCCATATTGCTGGTGGCTGTGCAGCCGTAGGTGCCACTGTCGCTTTTATTGAGGAAGGGGAAGATGAGTGCGCTCTCCTGGGTCATCTTCAGGGGTGGCACACTGCCCTCCTTCTCCCATAGGTACTGCTGGGGGCTGTTGAGGAGACAAATCAGAAGTGCTCAGGAGAGTGGCGACTGGCAGGCTAAAGGAAGAAAATAAATAACAGGGAGGAGGGGAGTCAAGGATTGTTTGATGAGGTTCCAGAAATCACAGGGGACTAAGATGCTGAGTTCCACAAAGGTGAGGGTGGAGGTTCCCTAACTTGAATCTTACTGTAGCTTGGCTTCTTACTGGAACCTCAGGGGCTGAGCTAGGGGGTGGCCTGTGCAGGAGAAACCATCAAAGGACAAACTTCGTCGGATTGAGTCCAAGAAATGGGAGGCTCAGCTCAGACAGTCCAGAGAGACAGGAGGATGTCAAGTGAAGACAGCAATCTGAGAGTATGGAGGTGTCGTAGAGGCAGGAAAAGGGGGCTTCTTACACTGGATTGCCACGTCCCTCACAGTGTAGCAACAGTTTCTGGCCTTCGCGGGGATGTGGAGGGTCTGGTCTAATCATCACAGTTGGTGTGTCTGGAAGAGAAAATGGGGTAGATGCAAAACTTTCTAAAGTGCTTAGATTTCCAAAATCTCAAAATCACTCAGCAAACTACAGCTTCTACCCCTAAATGTCTGGGGAGACCAAGAGGCTATGAATACAGAACTTCTTCTCCCTCCATGTTGGGAGCAAAGGCTGCAAGGGCTATTGAGTGTGTGACCCACTTGCTCTGTTTACAACCTCGTGGTACTAGGGCACTAGAAGGTCTGTCTAGTACATAGAAGGAACCTAGTACATATTTTTGACACAAGTAAGCCAGAAGTTGCTACTTACTGAGCTCACAACATTTCAGTTCTTTCTGCTCTGAGAGGGAACTTTGCACTGGAAGCAGTGTTTGAACATGAAGCCTCATTTTCAGTGGTCAATTCAAACATGAAGTGAGAGCTTTGGAACAGCAAGAGATAGGGAAGGGGGTCATAGTTTGGCTGCAAAAAGGTACTGACACAATATAGACGGGCTCTGCAAAGGAATATTGGCATCTGCCATTGACGCCAAAGGGCTGCTTGGGAGGCTAGGTCCAGATGGTGGCTTAGAACAATGCAACCAGATGCTGGGTTAGAACAAGAGTGAAAGAGGCTGAGCTTCCCCCTCAGGACAGAGCCAACCTTAACAACCAGTTAGTGAATGTATCTCCGTCATATCCAGCAGGACAAAGAGAAGCTGGCCAGGTGAGAGAATGGGGGTGCTGGGGCCCCACAGCACTGAGTGCTGATTACCGCTGGGCCAGAATGGTCCCTGGAGAGTAACTGCCAGATGGTCTGGTATCTGGCAGCCGAGTCTTTGGGACTCAGACAAGGAAGGGCCTACTTTATGCCTGGCCAGGGACCAGAGCTCAGGGGAGAAGAATCCAAGGCAGCGGCTTTATACTCAGAACTACTGATTACAGAAACACCTCATAGCTGCTGCCCCCACACTTTCTTAATTAATAAATTAGGACAAGAAATGCATCATTTCGTGACTGTTTATCTTATGCCTTTGTATTTTAGTCCCCCCTCCCCCCTTAGTCCTTCAAATCAGAAATGTTATTTTGGAAAACTTTCAAATTTCCTCAGATGAGACATTCCCAAGTTTCCACACTTCCTCAGAAATTTCCTGTTCATACGAAAGACATATTCCAGTGTCTTAGGAGCAGGGACAGTGAGTCTGGTCAAGTCAGGTCCGGTCAGAATCCAAGGAAAATCATGGATCTGGGCAAGCAAAGGAGTCTTCAGTAAGAAAAGGATGTGGGATTCTTTTCCCAGGCAGGCTGTGCCTTCCCACAACCTACACTTTCCTGAAATCAGAGAATGTTAGACAGAGAAGATACCTTAGTGACTCCCATGGTCATCTCTGTCTTTTAGCAAATAAAGACTCAACTTGGTGGGGTACAGTCATTTTCTTAACATCACACAGCCAATAACTGGCAGAGTGCAGACTAGAAACTAAGTCCTAGGGGTTTCTGGATGCCACAGTTACCACCGTAACTTGCAGTTTGATCATATTACACTGGCCTCACCCTTATCCCTTGGGTCAAATCCTTCCAGGTGCATGCTTTTGGAAATAAAGTTTTATTGGAACACAGCCCAATTCGCTTGTTTACATTTTGTCTGTGACTGCTTTTCTGCAGCAGCAGTAAGCAGAGTGAAGCAGTTGAGACAGAGATCTCAAAGCTCTCAAAGCTGACGATGCTTGCTGTGGGGCCTGCACAGAAAGACTGCCTGCCCTTGGTCTAGTCCTGCCACCTCTCATCTCATTTTTTATGTATTTGTGTATGTGTGCACATAGTTTCATGTACAGTCACCTGCACGTTCCTTTACCCAATCCGTTCTCATACCTGGCCCTTCTCACCCGCCAAGCCCATGACATACATAAGACTTCAATGCGTTGAGAGGTGGATCTGTCAGCTCCCTTCAGAGATTCATGGTTCACAGAGCACACGATGTTTGCTCCGTCATCCTCCCGGGTAACCTGGAACGTCACTGAGCTGCTCACAGTGAAGGTTTTCCCATTGGGATCTTCCTGTATTCGAGTTGGTTCTCCTAGAAACACACACACACACACGCGTGCGCGAATACAGAGTGAGCCCCACCACACATATGTTGTGTGGTCCCCATCGTAGACATACAGCTAGTGAGTATAAACCTAGAAAAACTCAGGAAGCTATGAAATAGATATGTGTACATGAGAGAATGTGGGCTGTGACACACACATAAGTATGCACAAAATATCAGGCATTCCCGTTTTCTCCTCCTACATCCTGTCTTATGCACACATAGACAAACGCCCCCACTGCCAGCACCACCTCCTCCTGTAGTAACCCTTAGGCAACAGATACTCACCACGAAGCTCTTGATCACCCTTCCTCCAGGTGAGCTGGGCCGCAGGTTTGCTTCCAGAAGACTGACAGTGCAGGGTGGCTGTCTCCTTTTCCCGTAATGATGACTTGTAACCAGTGATTATGGGCTTCTGTGGGATGCCTGCCAGGGATAGGGAATGGCCAGGATAGGAAGGAGAGGCTCCCTGAAGTCATACGTCATCTCTCCCTATGGAGACGTCCTCTCTGAGGTCAAGGATATCCGAGTTTTTCTTTGGTTTGTATTGGTAGAGAACCAGGGTAACCATCTTTTTAGAGGACCAGAAGGCAAGATCAGGGAGAGGAGGTATGGCAGTGGGGAGACATGCCATACCTGAGACACATTATCTGACCTGATAACCCCTAGCACAACTGGTGGCCACAGAAAGAGTATGAGGCTCAGGGAGGCAAAAAAAAAAAAAAAGGAAATACAGGATGAAGATGACAGCTTATAGAAGCTCATATCCCCCTCGCCAATCTCAGGACATTGGCGAAATGGACATGATCACTCAATGTGATAAGTTGGGAGATTCAGGCTCAAAGAAAGGCAGAGGCTTGTCCAGCTCAAACAGTAGCTAGAACAGAAGGGATTAGAACTCAGTTCTCTTGGCATTGTATCCCATTGCAAGGGAAACACAGGCTGAACTTTTGTCTGAAACGCTTGGAGACTTGCCTGTCTACAGGCTGCTTTCGGGTGCCCACCGAGGGAGGTTAGCTGGAAGGAAGCATGCTGTGGGGACCCAGGGGTTTGCGAGCCTCACCGAGCACAGTGACGAGGGACTTGGCAGTTCGCACAGGCATGGTGAAGATGGAGCAGGTGTACTCGCCCTCGTCGGCCAGGGCCACGTTACTGATGCTGATGCTGAGCTCATGGGGCGTGGAGCTCACCAGCTGAATCCGATTATCTCGAAGGGCTAGGGAGATCGGGACAATTGGAAGCCAGGTTTTTACTGCCCTCTTTCAATTCCAGGGCAGCAATTTGGGGTCAGGGGTCTATTATAGTGGGGTGGGGGAAAAGCTGTTCTTTAGGGCACTCACTCACTTTTTGGGGCCATTGAGCATAGTCACCCAAAAGATACTAAAAGTGTAGGTTGGTTCTTGTGCGCTTCCTTGTGACATCCCTGGGGCAACACTGACAGCTGCCTGTTAGGGCTTCTTTGGGGTGCAGTCACTCAGGATCCTAAATGACTGTGCATGGCCAAAGTCAGAGCTGAAAAACTGAAGTTTCTCTGAAATCAGCTGAGGAGCCATGCTTGTTGCTTCCTCAAATAGCATACCTCCACGTTTCTAGTCCCTGAGCTGCAGGGACAGTTCACTTCCCCAGCCCAGGGAGAGCGAGAATTCATGGGACACTACCTCTTTTCTCCCCAAAGTAGAGAGTCTGCTGGGCAGGGTTGGACCACTGCAGGGATGAGTCCTCATGGTCCTTCACTTGGCACTTGAGCACCACGGTGCCGCCAGCCACCACTGTTTCATCAGAAGTCCAGGGCTGGCTGTCTGCAGGAGTAGAGCAGAGTTAATCTCTTGAGGACCTCCTTGGCCCAAAGTCCACATAATCTAATTCAGACCATCCAAGGGCCTGGTCTTTACAAGGTCTCTGTTCTCTTAAGGCTTCATGGGGGAAGGAACAGGAGGGGTGGTGGTGGTGGTGGGAGAGACAGACCTTATTTTCTCTTGCTTCGAATACACAAGAAACAGATAATCACTTGTTGAATGTTTGCAGAATGAACTGACAGGACCACAAACATTTAAAGAATAAGGGCACCCCAAATTTGCACATACCACTCCGCATAGATTTTTTTCTGATACAGTTCTACCATTCACCTTGGAGAACACACATACATATCTGTCATTCTGTGTTTTGCCTTCTTGCCACCTCCTACCTAGTAGAGCAAGAGCAAGAGAAGCAGTTGTGACTAATAATCTCAAGACTACGATGGGGAAAAGGCCAAACCAGCCCTTGGGTTGTACATTCATTTACACGAGAGGCAGCTGATAAAACTGAAACAAACAAAATATAAAGACTAAAAACTGAAACACTTTGACACGCTTTCCCATTCTTCTAACAATAACTTCCCCTCAATCATGCTGTCCCTTAACAAATTCTCTTTAGTGTTGACACTACCCGCCTCCCAACCCACAAGCACAAATCACCATCCTGATGTCCCTGTAAAGAATGAAGGATTGAAGTTTCCCCTTTCATGTGATGAGAGTATGTTTTCTAACCCCTTTCTCATTAGTCAAGTTAAAAAAAAAAAAAACAGAGAAGGGCTAGTCAGATACCCCATAGATGAGCCATTTGTATCTCCAGTGTGCCTTTTGGTCATGCCCACCTGTGAGCCCCTCAGACTGTGACGCTTGCTTCTTCCACCCAATATTGTGCCATGTTCCCCACAGCAAGAGCTCTGGTTTCCAATATTGATTCCTTCATCTTCAAAACCGACTTTCTGGAACCAATAGCACTGACCTCCAGAGAACTCATCTAAAATAAACACCTTCCAGCTCTGACTTTGAAACATCCACAAAATCTGTCCTATGGCACTGAATTATGTAACTAGCATTGCTCATCCCTGAATAGAAAACCCCCCCAAAAAATTACTTTCTCAAAAAGTTCATGGAAATAGAATTCAAAAAGAAGTTTATTTTGGTACAAAACATTAAAAGCACTCATAGATAGTTTTTCCACAACATGCATTTTCCATTAACTTCATTAAGATCTCTCATATGCGTGAATTTTACAAAATTTTTGCACCAACATAAACTTACCTTTTAATTCTATTTTCTACAAACTTTCTGAAATATGTTTGTATTTCCCTACTTTAAAAACAATCTATGCTTCTTCGGTGCTGATCTTATCCTTGCCTATCCACTTACTCATTTGTTTTTGGCCAAGGACACTCCATGTTTGGAAAGCAAATATTGATCACCCCCAGCAGAGAAGAGGCTCTGAGGAGTGAAGCTGCATGTACAAGAGTTGATAGCAAGCACCAACTGGTGAGAGTGGTTGCTTCCAAACTGAAGTGCAAAGCCTGGTGGTTAGTGTTCGTGTAGAACTGTAAAAACCAGAACTGAGGGAGATCTGCGGGATCATGGGATCCAATTCCCTCTTGTCACAGATGTAGACAATGAGGCAATGCGGGTGAAGTGACTGCCTAAGATCATTCTGTATGTTCAACTTGGAATTAGAACTTGGTTCTTCCGTCTCTCAAAGCAGTGTTTTTTTCATTAGAATGTTTCTCAAGTAGTCATCTGACTTGAGAATGACAGCTATGAATTTGAGAACCAGTGGCTGAGCTGGCTGAGCAAATTTGGAAGTGATATATTCCTAATATAGCTCAATAAAAGGTTTGAGAAATCTTTAATTTATATATCTATATCTACATCTCTCTCTGTATGTATGTATGTGTATATATATATATATATATATACACACACACACACACATACATGCCAATTTTTGGCTAGGAATCCCTCTGTCCCTGCTTCTTTTGGAAGAATATTACCGTGATTGTGTCTGCCCACTAATTTTTTATTCTGAGCAATGTATTACCTTAGAATGACTTTATTTATTTCTTTATTTTTTGGATGCTGTGTAGGGTGAATAGAATTCTCTGTACTGGAGAAAGGGAGGAAGGGGTAGGTGCAAGAGAAGCTGGTGGTGCAGAACTAAGAAGTCAGATGCCAAATGGGACGGAGAAAGAGTTGTGTGGTTATGAGGGGAGTGAGAATATGGGGTGAAGGCAACATGAGTGGGAGACAATGGGAGGATGAGTGAGTTGAGGGACATGGAAATGAGGGGCCTGGATTCTCACCTTGACTGGCCAGCATGTCAGGGCTGCTCCAGACTGTGGAGCTGATGGCCTCGTCCAGTGGAGCCAGAGTTCCCAGCTCCAAATCCTGCTCCTGCCAGTAGCCTGGGGAGAGAATCTCCATCAAGGATAAGCCCTGCATATATCCTGCTTCGCCTGGGGCTATGCTCTCCTTACTGGGCCTGAGGGAGAGGCTAGGCCTCTATAGAACTCAGGCTTATCAGGATACCTAAGAGAAGGTGGGTTTATCCCAAAGGAGGGAAATGAGCTAGAGTCCTGAAAACAGAAGCCAGGTCTCCTCTGAAGGAGTGAGTTAAAGGAGGGTGCTGAGTTTTATCAGTCCATCATATAATGTTAGAGCCAGTGAGATCTTAGAAGTCCTTCAGTCCGGTTCTCCCCTTTCAAGGATGACAACGGAACCCATTCATTTAAAAGTGACTTAGTGACAGACATCCAATGAGCTTTCATTTCTTAGCTAGGATTTCTTCTGCTGTACCACATGATCCACTCAAATAATTTAATGATTAGAAAAGATTTTCACACTTAATCATTTGTGTAGAGCTGTCAAATATGTACGCTGGCATTATCTAGTCCTCTTTTGGAGAGTGGAAGCAGAATGAAATTACTTGCCCAAGGTCATACTCAACCGAAGAACAAAGACCAGAAATTAAATGTCTGCTATCAAATGGAAAGCTCACTTTGTTTCAAGGTGGAACCTCACCTTTTAAGAAAGAGATCACGGTGGGGTTGACAGTTGCACGGAGCCTTTCCAATTCGACCTCCTAGGCGGTACTCACACTCTGCGCAGTTTTCCTACTTTATCCTCAGTCCCCCTCCTTCACCACTCTGCTCCTTCCCCTGGCAAAGCAAATCCCTTTCCTCTTCACCCAGCGAGCTTGAATGAACGCCTCTCTTCCTAGTAGGTGCCCCTAATCCCTTTTGTGAAGTGCCGGTAGCGTCACGCACCAGTTTCCCCCTACCCAACCAGGAGAGGCAGAGGGACAAAGAACCCGGCCACACGAATCTTTTCAGGATCTCCCGCCGGAGCGCCCTGCAGTAGCCAATCAAGTGCGTAAAATTCAGTGAGGTCATTGGCTGCTGTGCAGAGCCGAGAGTCGCGGCTGGTGCCGGCCCAGGGGGTCTCGGGAGAACTTCGCCTGGGGTGGGTGCGCGCTGGGCGCCGGCGCGGAAGAGATGAGAAGCCGGCGCTGGGAACGAAAGAAGCTGGGGATGGGGAAGTCGAAACTACCAAGAGAAGTGGGACAGAAGCTCAGAGTCCCTAGGAAAGAAAGGGGACCAGGACCAGGGAGCGAATTGCAAAACCAGATGGAAGGGAGAAAGCGAAGAGGGGGAGAGGGTGGGGGTGGAGGAGAAAGGCAGGGGGAGGGAGAGAGAGACAGGGAAAGAGGAGGGAGGGAGAAGGCATAGGGAGGAGGCGGGCAGGCGGGAATGGAGCCCTGAGAGAAGGCTGGCCTCAGAGTTCACAGGCCTCCAAGCCCGCGCCTCCTCTCCTCATTGTTGACCTCTGCCAGCGATTTTGAGAGTTACTTTGTTCTCAATCAGGAGAAACGCTGATGCCCAAATGAGACAAGGGAGTCAAGTAGAGGAAAGAGAAAAAAAAAAGTATAACAGGCAAAGAGAAGCTAGCAGGAATGGGGCAGAAGGCAAGTGTGTTAGTGAAGATAAGCAGAAGATTCGAGACTGGACGAAGGAAAGAGGCACAGGAGGGGACCAGAGCTGTCCAGTCCAGCAGAGACGCTCCTCCTGGGTGCCCATGGCCGACTGCACACACCAAGGATGACGCTGGTGAGTGGTCCTTGTTATTTTCAAGCTTGTGTGTTTGTGGGTGTGTGGGTGCACTGCGTCAGTGGTTGTGCTGCAGTGAGGGATGGTGGAGGGACCAGGAGGAGCCTGAAGGGTCAATGGTCAACCCTACAGCATTAGTATCCGGTACACAAAGTAAGCACGACACAGGCCTTTGCTCAAACAAGCAAAGGAAGAGGAAAACTGTCAGGACATACTGTGGTATAGGAGTTCAGTTTGCAGAATGCATTTTCAAAATCACCTTGAGAGACAGGCTGCAGACAGAATCACTTTTTAAGAGAAGTTCAGAGAGGTTTAGTGACTCACCTAAAGACATGCAAATAACACACCTCTCAGGAACCCCACCTCCTCAGGTGGTGCTCTCAAAGCCTTTTCCATAGTGCCTGTTTCCTATGGCATTTCAACACACTGTATTGTGACTACTTGTTATCAGTCTTCTCATCTAAATTTTGAGATGGCAAGTGCAGGGCCTTACCTTAGTTATCTTTGTGTCTTTAGCACTTAGCCCACTGTGGGCTCTCAGTACATTTAATTGGCTCTGGTCATTCAGCCACACTTGGCACTGTGCTATGCAGAGTGTTAATCAGGCAGAGGAGTCACCCTATCCAACAGCCCGGTTTTCCTCCACTTGCTTGCTCTCTCTCTCCTCTGTGCTTTGTTCTGCATCCTCCTCTGTTGCTTTTCTCCTTGCCAGTGCTCCTTTCATTACCCCCTTCCTGCTGTGTTTTGCTGGTATAATTTTTTCTGCATAGGAAAATAAGTGAAATGACAATGTAGATCATTCAAATCATTCAGATGAAGGAGGGGACTGACAACTAAGCAGATAGTCTCCAATAAATGGTATATTTTGGATATGCACGGTGTATTGTTTCTATAGGTTTGCAGAGAAGTCACTGTGGCTTGTCTTGATTTAAGAAATTGTTTAAGAGGTGGCTTGATACTTTTGCCACTTGGAGGGGTGATGGTTCTCTTAAACACACCTATGATATTATGTCTCCTCTCAGGAACTATCTGATAATATGTCTGAAAGTGTCCTGGCTATTTTTGTAAAATTGTAAACCTGTCGTGATAAATTTTGAATGGCCACTCCCCCTGGAAGCAGATGAGTGATTGTAATGCTATCAACAGAAACACAGATAAGTAGCAGAAACCATAACCTGAATTGGGAAAGGTTTATACCTTCTTTGGATTCAGAGTGTGCCCATCATTTATGATACCAGCATGAATTCCTTCAAAAAATTTAGACTGGAAAGGGAAACTTACAATTACTCTGCAAAGGCAGTGTGGACTTTGAAGTATAATTAGTAAAAATTCTGCTCAGGAACATGGCAAGGAGCTGCAGGTTTTTTTTTTTTTTTTTTAACAGGTAGAGTTATAGACAGTGAGAGAGAGATACAGAGAAAAAGGCCTTCCTTTCGTTGATTCACTCCCCAAATGGCCACTACGATCGAAGCCAGGAGCCAGGTGCTTCTTCCTGGTCTCCCATGTGGGTGCAGGGCCCAAGCATTTGGGCCATCCTCCACTGTCCTCCTGGGCCACAGCAGAGAGCTGGACTGGAAGAGGAGCAGCCGGGACTAGAACCCGGTGTCCATATGGGATGCCGGTGCCCCAGGTGGAGGATTAACCAAGTGAGCCATGACGCTGGCCCCCAAGGAGCTGCTGTTATGTGGGCTAGATATGGAGGCCACATATCCACTAGTGAGGGAAGGACTTGGGTGTTCTGGTAGAACAACAGTTGAGAGCGTCGATCATATTTGTCATTTTGTGCCCCCTGAGAAGTCATCAGACTCTCCATTGCATGCAGATAGCTTCCAGGTTGTTGGCCTGACAATTCTTTATGACCAGATGTACAGGCCAATCCACCCTTCATCTTTGTCTCTTCTCCACTTTTCTCATCCCATATTCCAGACACAGGAGGGCATACAGAATTCTCTCCATAAACCCTTTGCTTTCCCATGTCTCTTCCCTTTTCTATGAGTGTGACAACTGTACTGATGGTGCCCTTTACCCATCCTCACATGTCTAAATTGTATCCACCCTTGAAGCCTATTTTTTGTGGCACCTTCTTCAAGAAATCTTCCCTGATTTTCCCAGATGGAAATAAGGTCCCATTTCTCTGACCTACAACACTTTGTCTACATTTCTTAAATTATGTATCACTTTCTACTTTGCACTGCAAATTTGGCTTCCCTCCTAAAGTATAAAGAAACTACACGTAGTGTTGATATCTGATTCATCTTTGTATCCAGTGCTGGCTCTAATACAGCATATTGCACATAGAAGGTGATTAATAAATATTTATTTATTAAATGAATCAGATGCTGAGCATCTTCTATTGTGAGAACTAGATTCAAAATCTGCCAGTACAGAGGAAATAGCAAATCATACATGATAGGGAGAAACAGACTACAGTAAGTAGTAGACCACCTAGAGACTGAAGCTCTAGAAATCTACAAGACAGAGGGAATAGATAGTCATCAATGCTTTGTGTGTCAGGATCCAGATGACATGCTTTATATTCATTATTCCAAATAACCTTTTCATGGGAATTATTTTGCACATGTTAAAGCTGAATTAAACAACTTGTCCATATGATGTATCTGAGTTGGTATAGGACAGACTTTAAGCTTAGGTCCTTCTGGCTACAAAGCCCAGCCTTTCTCCATGTCTACCCTACACTACAGGAGCATGCATTTGTGTGTACAGTGACTGGCAGAGGGTAGGGGGGAAAGAGTTCTCTTGCATTGCTGGCCAGCGGTAGCTCACCTTAACAATACACATAACACTGATGTGTAGTGGGACAAAAATAACAGTGTAACAAGTTGGAGATGGGTGCTTGTGGCAATGGTAGTGCTCTTATTTGTACCTACTGATTTATATTTTTATTACATTTCTGAATGTGTCTTCTGTATGCCTCCAGGGCTGTTTTGTTCACTCCTAAGTGCTTTAGAATACAGTACTCTCCAACTAACTAAGCAACAGACAGATCTAGTTAAAACTAACAACCCTCCCCACAAGCATACACATTTTCATAGTGCTCTAGGACCTAGGCCTAAAAGATTATCTGCTTGTTCACCCCAACTGCTTGCAGGCTTTCTTAATTCTTGTTGTATTTACCCATGGGTTCTAGTACTTCCAGGATTCCCAGCACTTAGGACAGAGAAGCCCTTTCACCCACTGATTTCCTTATGATTGATTGTTCATATTAGGAGTAGAGGGGTGGGAATTGAGGCTTATTAATGTGCCTCTTTAAAGGATGCTTTGGCATCTATGATTCAGTT